GCGCGGCTCACGGTGAAGCCCACGGGCGTCTCCAGGGCCGTGCCCGGCCGCGGCTGGCAGCTGACGTGGTAGATGGTGAACAGCAGGTGATGGTTCTCGGTCACGCAGGCCGGGAGCCGCAGCTTGAACTCCTCGTAGAATTCGGGGCACCTGGCGGGGACGGGACCCTGGTGGCTGCCCTGTCCCCTCTGCCGTGCTGGTCCCCGCCTCGGCTTCCCCGTTAGCCCCCCAGAGCCTCCGGCGCCCTGCTGCGCCCACATGAGCGCCCCGTCCCCGTCCCCTCCCCGCCTACTTGTTGTGGTAGACGACGGGCGTGAAGGCTTCGCGGGTGAACTCGCCGCAGCTGGACTTGCCGAAGATCACCTGGGGGAGCGGAGACATGAAGGACCCCCGACGCCGCACCCGGCGCCTCCCCCGCAGGGCGCGGCCACTGACCGGCAGCGCCTGGCCGGGGTCCTCGCCGGCCATGTACTGGAGCCGCACCGCCAGGTTGCGCACCGAGCCCTGGCGGCTGCTGAAGTTGAGGCTGCGCGGGTACACGTAGAGCAGGTTCCTGCGGGCAGGGGCGGCAGTGAGGGCACAGGGCCCCACGGGGACCAGACACCAGGCAGCCGATGAGCCGGCTGGGGACACAGAGTCACAGGCCAGGGTGCTGAGGGCTGGGTGACTCTGCTCCAGGATCGGGGAGAGGTCGGACCTGCAGAGGGTGTGGGCGGGACAGATGGACGCCCCAAAGCACAGGTGGGGGTTGCATGGCACTAGGGCCGGAGTTCCGGGATGGTGGCCAGGTGGCCAGTGGTCTTACCTAATCCACGCCATGCTGACCTGCACTTCGGGCCCCAGTGCCCTCCCCAGAGGGGAAACTGAGGCCAGAGCCAGCGGCTGTGTTCAGAATCCTGCCTCCTTCCTCTCTACAAGCCCGGACCTCCCTCCGGGCCTTGGTGTCCCTGTCTGTATAACGGGGCACAGGGCCTTCTAGTTAAAGGCCACCAAGGATGGTAAACGACCACGGTGACAATCACCGCACCAAACACTTGAGTGGCACCTACTGTGCGCCAGGCTCCCAGCACTCAGCGTGAAATCATTCATTGCCCCTCGCAAGCATGCTGGCTGGGGGGACCCACAGCACCCGTACTGTACAGGAAGGGAAACCGAGGCACGTCCCCCCACCATCCAGGGAGTTACCTGGCAGTTAGCACAGACTGGGACTTTTCTGCCTACTGGAGTCAGGCTGTGTGGCCTCATGGCAGACTCTGTCACTTCCCCCATGTCCACCAGCCTCTACCCAGGCTAACAGAGATCCCTGCATCACATGCAGTTTTGTGGGACAGGTACCTGTACCCCTGGACAGCAGATATATATATATATCTGGAGCAGCTCTGTGCAAACCTCTGGTGCTCTGAAATACCATGATCATCATTATTTGTCACAGGGCCTTATCATATAGCCAAACTTGCGATCCTCCTCCTGCCTCAGCCTCCCAAGTGCTTGGATTACAGGCATGCGCCACTCTACCCAGCTTCTATTCTTATTACTGTCATCTGTTCTGCCTGTATATAGGTGGGGGAACTGGCACTCAGCATGGTGACCCCCAGGATGTCCCCGCAGTGGCCTGGGCCTGTCCTCTCCCTGTGGAGCCCCCCTCCACACCTGGCCCTGCGCCCCAGCCGGCGTGATCCCAACGTGGCCCAGCTGGATATCTGCCTGATGCAGCCACGACGCCCCAGCCAGGCCTTGCACAACACAAGGCGGCTGCGTGACCAGTTAACCATTGACCGGGGTAAACGGCAGCACGGGGACATAAAAGGCGGTGGCAGCGGCACTGTGGCCACAGCCCCAGACCGTCAACCATGCCCGCGCTCGCTCTGTGCCTCCTGTGGGTCCTAGCCACAGCGGCCCGGTCTGCCCCAGTGGCCCCCGTGGGTGGCCGGGAGCCGGCACGGTATGAAGAGCTGACCTTGCTCCTCCATGGGGTTCTACAGATTGCCCAGGACGTCAACAGCGCATACACGACCACTGAGGAGCGGCTGACTAGAGCCAGGCATGGCCTGGACCTCTCTGGCCGTGTACTAGAGCTCCTGGGACTACAGGTCAGCCAAGGACGGAACGCAACTCGGGAACTCCGCACAAACTTGCTGGAGATACAGGTGGGCACTGAGGCTGGGGTGTTGCAGGGTGGATAGGAATCTAGAGAGGAGTTAATGCCTGGTGAGTTCAGATGCCCTGAGCTGCCCAGAATAAAAGTTCCCAAGATGCAAAACTTTGAGCGATAAAACCAAGCAAGTCCTGGGCAAAGACAAGCGTGTCACCCGCCTAACGCCTTCCTATCTACCAAGCAGATGGACGAGGATGCGCTGCAGCTGCAGGCAGAGGCTACGGCCCAGGGGCTGGCGGAGGCGGCCTGGGCACAGCAGGCACTGCAGGACAGCGTGTGCCGGCTGCAAGTCCAGCTAAGGGGAGCCCGGCTGCGCCGTGCCCGGCACGCAGTTGAGACCTTAAAGGTAAGGGACGCCCTGCACCGGGAGGACTGGGCCCGATTCCCGGTCAGACACAGCTCACTTCTGAACCTCGCGCCCGAGGGACCGCCCGGCTCTGTGACCTCTCTTCCACACGATCCCAGGCACAACTCGCGTCCTCATCCGGGCCTTAGTTTCCCCATTTTCAAATAAGAGGCACAGCTGGTATTTCACGGCAAAGCCAGGGATTCCATGCAGGGGAAGGGCACACAGTAGGTGGTCAATAAGTACTTCAAAAATAGTTGTTTTTGGTGACACTGGAGATTGAACCCAGGGGCTTCACACTGAGCTCCATCCCTATCCCTTTTTATTTATTTATTTTTTGTCTTTTTGAGACAGGGTCTCGCCTTGCAGTTCAGGCTGGACTTGAGCTCACTTTGTGGCCCAGGCTGGTCTTGAACTCACAGGGACCCTCCTGCCTCAGCCTCCCAAGCGCTGGCATTACAGGCATGCACCACCACGCCCAGCTCCCTTTTTATATTTTGAGACAGTCTCGCTAAATTGCCCAGGCTAGGCTTGAAATTGTGATCCTCCATCCTTGCCCTCCCAGAGGGCTGGGATGACAGGTGTGCGCTGCCATGCCTGGCTTCAATAAATGCTTATAACTGGTTTTACTGACACATGCCTGTCATCCCTGCACTCTGAAGGCTGAGGCAGGAGGGTTGCTGTGAGTTCAAGGGTGGCTTGCACTACATAGTGAGACCCTGCATCAAAAAAAAATTTTTTTTTAAAAATAAGTAAATGCTTATTACTAGAGTATCCAGAACCATGTCTTGACCACTCAACAATTACCCAGCACTGTTGGATGCCCTTTAATAAACCATATGATACTCGTAACCTCACAAAGCAAGTCCTACTGGAGACCCATTATACAGATGTGGAAACTGAGATGCAGCAGGGAACTACAGCGAGAGCATGGGCAGAGCCAAGGCACAGGAGGTGACACGGTCCTCACTAAGCTCCTCCCCCCTGTCCCGCAGGCTCTGGCTGACAAGCAGAGCCGCCTCATGTGGGTCCTCAAGGGCCACATGCATCGACAGAGGCAGGAGATGAAGGCACAGCAGGAATGGCTGCAACAGCTCCAGGAGCGGTGAGCCTGGCAGGGTTGGCGCGTGCGGGGCAGTGGGATGGGGTGCGCACGGGGCAGCTGCAAGGAGCCCCCTTGCATCGACTGACGGAGTCACATGTCCCTCCGCAGACTGCACACAGCAGCGCTCCCGGCCTGAGCCTCCTGCGCGGACCCGAGGACCAGTCGCGCAGCAAGGGACATGTCCAGGCGCCACGCAGCCCTGCGCAGGTGGAGCTGCCTGTCTGCTGGGGTCGGCCAGGGCGCCCCCGGTTCCGGACAGAGCAGAGGCAGCAGCCGGCGGCGGCGGGGCACAGGCGGAGGACGCGGCCCGTCAGGAGGGAGGACGCATGCGCGCCCCTTCGGGCCTCATTAAAGCAGAGCGGTGCATCTCACCCGCGTGTCTGCCGCGTGTCTGTGCACGAGGGGGACCTCACCCAGCACCACGGCTGGACGTCGCCGCAAGGGTTGTACCTGTAGCAGGTGTGCGGGGCGTAGACCTCGCGGGCGGGGAACTCCAGGATCTCCTTGGTAGGCCGGCCCCTGGGGTCTGGGTAGGGCTTAATGTGAAGCAGCTCAGGGCTCAGGCAGAAGTGGGGGTTCTCAGGGGCTGGAGAAATGTCAATCTTGAGCTGAGCTGGGAAGGAGAAAGCTAGTTGGCACCTGTCCGGGAGCCTCCTGGCCAGGGGACCCTTTGGGCTCAAAGCCCAGCTCCGTTTCTCCCCAGATGTCCTCCGATGGTTCTGTCTTTCAGAGCCAAAAGCCACAAGTCAAGTAGGGGGTGGGGTGGCACACACCTGCCATCCTAGAACTGTGAGAGGCTGGGTCAGGGGATTGAAAGCTCAAGCCCACCTTGGGCAACTTAGTGAGACCCTGTCTAAAAATAAAAAATGAGCTTGGCGTGGTGGCGCACGCCTGTCATCCCAGCACTCGAGAGGCTGAGGCAGGAGGATCACTGTGAGTTTGAGACCAGCCTGGGCTACATAGTGAGTTCAAGGGACCCAGCAAGACCCTGTCTCAAAAAAGACAAAGAAAGAAAGAGAAAAAGAGCTGGTTAGGGACTGACATGAAGATGGGTAGCTCCGTGCAAAGGCTGTAGGTCCAATGCCCAGTACTACAGAAAGTAAAATAACAAGCCACAAGTCACCCAATTCCTCTGTCTGTCGCCCACATCTGAGCAGTGCTTCCCTTGGGCCACACGTCCCCCTGCCTCCAGGTTCCCCTATTGGAACCCACAGCGTGTCTTATTTAGTCTATTTCTCCTCCACGGACCACACTGGAAGTTCCAGTAGGAGGTTGGGCCTTGTCTGTCACAGTTGGATCCCCAGTGCCTGTAAAAGTGTGTACTCAAGCCGGGCGTGGTGGCAGATGCCTGTAATCCCAGCACTTGGGAGGCTGAGGCAGGAGGATCATTTCGAGTTTGAGGCCAGCCTGGGCTACAAAGTGAGCTCAAGGCCAGTCTGACCTGCATAGCGAAACCCTGTCTCAAAAAGACAAAAGAAAAAAAAAAAAAACCAATTCGGCACTCAGGGTGGGTTTGTTGAGTGACTGCATGAGAACAACACCCCTTGTTTGCGGGGTGCCCCACGCACCGGTCACAGGTCGCAGGCGCCGCAGCAGGGATGAGGGGCGCCGCATGTCCGCCAGGAATTTGAAGAGGTCCTCCTCGCTGAGTCTTTCAGCCTCCTGCGGGAGACAGGGCCCATGAGCCGGGGGCGGTCAAGGGACTGAAAGTTCCGAGGATCAATGCTGCCACAAGGGCCGGGCGCAGACAGGCCCGGGCACCACTCCCCACTGGCCCCACACCTGCTTAAAGAAGTTGGTCACAGTTAGTGTGGCCGGGCGGAAGCCAGAGAAGCTACAGGCATCGTCCCCACCACTGGATCGGTCCTGGGGTCCCCGACGGCGACGCTCGCTCCAGACTGGACGGCGCTCTAGGGACGACAGTCACAAAGGGAGGCGATGAGACAGACAGGGAGGGACAAAAGATTTGAGACTCAGGCTTTTGGCCAAGCGGCCAGTGGAGGGCCTGCCTCCCTCCAGGCCCCGCCTCCTACCGGGAAGCTCCACCCTCCCCCCCGCCCCTGGGAGCCCTGCCCAATCACGCATCCTCTCCAAGTAACCCCGCCCCACTGGGTAGCCCCGCCCCCTCTAGAAAGCCCCACCCCTCCTCCCGGCAGCCCCGCCCACTCACCCCCCTCCGAGTCCGAGTCCCGGTCAGGCTGCCCCGCGCTGCTCACGATGTTGGCTAAGTGCACGGCTGTCCAGGCGAAGGGCATGCGGTAGCGGCCCAAGCGGGTGCAGAACTGCTCAGCTGCCAGGCGCAGCTTCTCCAGCTTCTCTTTATTCTGGGGGGAGACCCCCGTCCCCACAGCTCAGCACCCCTAGAGCACCAAGTCCAGCAGGTACCTGCCCTGCAGCCCGGGCCCCCTTCCTCGCGTACCTTGGCCGTGTCCGCCTCCTTCATCACCATGTAGGGCTCACAGCACTCGCTGATGTCCCCTTGCTGAAGCACCTTCTCTAGCTGCAGGGCAGGAGGGGCTGTCGGCACGCAGCGGTGAGGCTCGCCAGGGAGCCCTGGGCTGCTGCTGCGTGCGTGTGGGACGTCATTGGTCCCCAGGCTGCCTACTCAAGGCTCTCGCTCATTTACCACCTCCCCGGGAAGCCCTCCAGGATTTCTCCCTGCTGAGGCTGGCGCAGGGACCTCCCTGGTGCTCCTCTGGGGTCCCCCCCCCCTTGGTGACATCTGTCTCCCTCCACGAGGGCACTCACTACCATCGTCCCCCCTGCCTGGTCCCCCCTGGGGCACCTTGATGACCAGGAAGATGTCAGGCGAGGGGTAGGTCACAGAGAAGATGGCGGATCGGGCCAGGGTGGAGATGGCAGGGTGGGTGCCATGGGCCCGAAGCAGCCCTTTCATGGAGTCCGAGTTGAGGTCGAAGTAGAAATTCTCCGAGATCTGCAGACACAGTGGCAGCTGGGTCGCTGCCTCCAGGAAGCCCACAGCCACCCACGGGGGGAACGGGGAGGAGCATGAAGGCGCCTACCTTTTTCTTCTCCCGCACGTCGTACAGGGCCAGGATTCCAAAGATGGGTTCGATTTCTATCTCAAACCTGCAGATAAGTGGGGGGCTCTCCCTGACACCGCCACCATCCACACCACGCCCCCCCTGGCCCACAGGCAGCATGGCGTTCTCTGGGTGCTCCTGGGTCACACAGAATCACCAGTGCAGGAAAGGCGCATTCCGTTTGGCAAAAGAGGAAACTGAGGCACTAGAGGGTTTCATTTTTTTTATGCACTGAAATTTTTCCCTATCTCCACCCATCCGGGAAGAAATGCACCCCTTAGCTTAGCTGTCTCCTTCCCAGCGACACTACCCTGTCCCCCCTGTACCTCTATCCCTCAATCTGGGACCCAAGACCCTGTATGCATCTCTCATCAAGGCCCTGCAAGGGCATAACCTGGTTGTGTTCTATCTACCAGGTGTTTGTTAAGTGACTAAGGGAACTCACAGAGCTGGTTCTCAACCCTTGGGCTAAGGGGCGGGTGGCCCATCCGGACCTCAGGCCAGAACGGAACCGCCCTTTCCTGCCCTGATGCAGACAGGAACTGGGGGTGGGGAGGAGCAGGACCAGGCTGATTTCCAAGTCCACATCCTGTTCAGCTCTGTTCCCACGCGCCTCTGCTGCTCCCGGGCCGATGTGGAAGGGGCCTCAGGCAGCTGGGAGCGGGATCACCAGCGCCCACTGCGCCCCGCCCCAGCAGGAGCGCAGGGGAGCGCCCGGCTCTGGCCTCATCAGTCTGGGGCTCTTGGGCCCAGTGACACTGCATGCCGTGCCTCAGTCTCCCCACCCTACCCACTTCATAAGATTGTGGTAAACATGAGTTGTGCAGGCAAAGGGCTAGGATGGAGCGGCGCTCAGTAGGTGCTTCAGGAATGACAGCTTAAAATAAAGAAGGGGCCAGGTGTGGGGCCACATGCCTTAATCCCAGCACTCAGGAGGCTGAGGCTGGAGGATTCCCCCAAATTTGAGGCCAGCTCAGGCTACATGGTGAGTTCAAACCCAGCCTGGACTACATAGCAAGACCCCTGTCTCAACAATCCAAAACCAAATAAATGAAAGTCTATGGTGACCTCACAGGGTTCAGGGCCACACAAAGTCATGACGTTGCTTTCGCAGCATGTACGTGCACTGCGACCCTTGGGGTCGTGTACTCACTTGAGCGACAGACACTTCACCAGGATCCTCTGTCCAAAATGTTCCCGGGGCGGCTCCGGGCGGGTACAGCGTTCCACGGCCTCGTCCTGCCAAAAGCCCGGGGACAGCTGGGGCCTGAAGGCCCTGGAGCACCAGGCCTGAGACCAGCTCTACCGGGCTGCCCAGCCAGTCTTTGGGGCCAGAGGAGCCTTTGCACATGCGGTTCCCCCCCACAGAACGCCCTTCCTGGCCTCCCCTCTTCCTTCTACTGCCCAAGGCTGCCTACTGTTCAGGGCCCAGCTTTGCTGTCCCTTCCTGTGGGAAGTTTCCTGGACCCCAGAGACCCCTGCCGCAGGGGGCCACGTGGCTAGGATGCAGAGGGCAGCATGAAGGAAGACTACCACGATGGCACTGCTCTGTCCAGACTCCAATTTCCTAGTAAAGATGGGATTGCTCATCCACTCTGAGAGTGGGCATGGGTCTCTCTTAGTCATGGCTATGTTTCCAGTCATATAGGCTGAGGCAGGAGGATCTCCATGAGTTCAGGGCCAGCCCGGGCTTCCCAGTGAGTTCCACCTTGAACTACACAGTGAGACCCTGTCTGAACTCCCACACCCCAAAAAAGGCAGGCTAAGCTAAGCCATGATGTGCAGTAAAGTGGGTGTATTACATGCATTTTTTTTGGTCTTTTTGAGACAGGGTCTTGCTCTGCAGTTCAGGTTGGCCTTGAGCTCACTCTGTAACCCAGGCTGGTCTCAAATTCACAGTGCTCCTCTTGCCTCAGCCTCCCGAGTGCTGGGATTACAGGCGTGCACAACACCCAGCTGTGTGGGTTTTTTTGTTTTGCTTTGTTTTGTTGAGACAGAATCTTACTATGTATTTCAGGCTGGCCTTAAACTCGGTATGTAGCCCAGGCTGGCCTCAAACTCACATCAATCTCCCTGCCTCAGCCTCCCTCCTGAGTGCTAGGATTATAGGTGTGCGCCACCACACCTGGCTAAATGCATTTTTGACTCATGATATTTTCAATTTACCATGGGTTAATTGGGCTGTAACCCCAGGTAAGTCAAGGCACATCTATATATACTGGTACCCAATAAGTACTGATTGAATAAATGTAGGAGTAGATAGTAAGCACTCAATAAATAACAAAATAAATCCATAAGATATACATTAAATGTTGGTTGAATAGATA